TCCGCCTAGACAGAGTACGTGGAGGTCGCCAGAAGTACAAGCGCAGAATAGATGCAGAGAATAGCCCATACCTGAACCCTCAGCTAGTTCAGCCAGCAAAAAAGCCATGTGAGTACACCAGATATACAAAATTTCTCTTTAAATACAAGGTATTGACTCCTAACACTGTTTGCTAACCTCCTTCTGACTGGGACAAGGGTTTGGTCAGAAGATATTACCATGAACGCTGTATCCATTTAGCTGTTAACATATTTTGTTTTAAATATGCTCATCTTTCTCAAGTGGAGTTGAACAAAGAATATTTTTACAGGTGGAAGTGTATAAAAGCATGGTTTATGCAGTGCAAATTTTACATTTACAGGTTATCATTCTTTTCAGTGGTACATAAAATGGTTTATACTCTGATCATTAGTTCATTGAAGCTTCTAGTTTCAGATTTCACAAGAAAGTGATTTTTGTAGTTTTCACTAACTAAATGAGTTTTGACTGCTCAACCTCCCAATGAAAATACATTAAGAGCCTCATTAATTTATACCTATAGATTAATACACTACCTAGTGTAGATTAAAACAGCAGTATGCCACACTAATAACAAGCATAGATTGGTAGTTTAGGCACTAGTACCCTCATGGATTTTTTTGCTTTGTTTTGTTATGTTTTAATAATGTCCTTGATTGTATCTCACCAGGCTGAAATTGAGAGAGAGAGAGAGAGAGAGAGAGAGCGCGAGAGAGATGATCATCTCATTGCTAAAATACAAGTTCCATCCTCTTTGCGATTAACTAAAAATAGTTAGGGGTTTTGCTTTGCAGCTGTATAAACTCAGGCAGCGACTGTACTAATTCCATGAAGTAAATTTAATAGCATTATAGCTGTAGTGCAAGAGGCTAGTGTATTACCCTGCAAAGGCACCCACACTGTATCAAGTGTTGTAAACTCTTCTGAATTCAAATTAGAATACACACATCCGGTTGTTCCTGCCAAGAAGGTTAATTTGCTCCTAAAATAGAGAAATAAGCCAGAGAAATAAGGAGGGCAAACTCCTCCTTGGCTGCCATTTGCCTGTGTCCCTGTGCGTCTGACAACACACATCAGTTTTAGGCTCTTGAAAATACCTGACCGTATGGAAAATGGCATTTGTTTTGGTTCGTGTTCCCCAGTAGGGGACAGTGCTGTGTACAGTACGTTTGAGCATATGGGGATCTGGAGAGCAAATAAACAGTCTTTGAACTGTAAGTGAAAGGGTATTTTAGCTGTGTCAAAGAAAAAACAGCCAGTTTTACATAAAATTAAGGCTTAAGTGAACATATGGCATAGTTTCCTATTGCCTTTCCAAAAAACATTATGCTGATTATATTCCTTCAATTGTCCAATCTGGCATCTTCTACTCAGCCTCCATAAGCTGTCCCACCGTTCTGTAAATACAATCTAGGGCTGCACTAAGCAGATTTTGCACATTATAATAAAAACTTTCTGATAATACAATAAAATTTAATAAACTCTAATGCTTAATTTCATTAGAGGTTTAGTTTTCCTGGGTGCACAGATTGTCAGTTTTTTATTTACTTGATATTGTCATTGAGTAGAAATGTTGATAGCCTAGCATACCAAAAAAGCCAAGACCAAACAGGCAAAAAAAAGACCAAAACCAAAAACAACCCCAAAACCCCGAGCCCTTTAATATGAACAGAGGTTAACACAGTTGTACTGAAATACAAGATCTCTGTGTAAATCCAAGATTACTGCAAAGCAGTGTACTACGTTGCCTTTAAGACGGCAACTACACCAATTTCTGTAAGCTCCATTTGTCTGAGATTAACTAACCTCCTTATAAATCATTCTTCATTATCTAGGTGCCTCCCTTCATTTTCCTTAGCTCGTCCAATTACAAACATTTTTGTAGCAAACATTTATAAAACTTAATTTTCAGATCCTGCCAGATAAGTGTCAAGACTTGAAACAGTTGAATCGGTTTTGTGTGGAAGTAGCCTGAGAGATTTTCTGGACCCTGACCGATAGTTTCTGCATAACAAAGGCACAAGAATGAAAATTGGGTTCTATTGATTCTAATTAGGGAAACATTAAATAAGATTTACCTAGAAACAGTGCTCATGGCTATTCAATTTCCTGAGTGATGGAGCTTTCTGAGTACATTCAGAATTTTCCTATGGTCTATGCTAATGCACACTCCAATACAGGTAGCTTTCCTCCCCTATAGGGAAGGGACAGGTGTTTGGAAGATCTTTCCTACACCTACTTCTGGCCTTTCTTGGATTTTCCAGCTTCACCATGGAATCTAATGGCCTGCCTGTAGATCTTGTTGATTGTGAAAATAAAAAGAATTTGAGATTTTGCTAATGCTGAGTGAAAATATACAATATTCCTGAATAACTTACAAAAAGCCGTTGGTGAGGAACCTTATACAAAAAATGAAAGAGGTTCTTTGGCCATTTCCTCTGTTTGCAGGGAAAAAAAAACAGGACTTGAGGAGATGTTTCTTCATTCATTTATCACTGGTTAAAAAACCACAAAGTTGAAGTCTTCAGCTACATATGTTATGATATTAAGAAAGTCTAATTGATTTATTATACTTTTCAATACATGTAAAAATACTGGAATTTGGAGAGAAGCAATGTTATCTTTTCTCACTTAAAAAGATGATGTTTTCTGTATGAAGTTACACAGGATATGAAAAGACTGTTTAAAAATTTTAAAAAAAATGTGCAAAGGCTGTTTGCCAGTATAAGTTAAAACTACCATCTGTCATCTTTAAATAAGAATAGAATTCCTCATTAATCAGTTTGATAATCAGTAGAATATTGAGATCAAGAATTACTCGGTTGGCATGGTTCCCATAGTTCATATAAAGCATGAATATGTCTCCTTGTAATAAAACATGCTTGATGTGATGGTTTCCAGTTGGCTCTTGCACTTATTTTATGAAAGGCTAACATATATCACAACTTCTGACACACAAATTTGGAATAAGGCAAAAAGTGTAGAGACGGTAGATCAGAATGGAGGAGTCTGTGTCACAAAAGAGCAGTAAAGTATCAGAAATCTGAATCAAGTGAGTATTTTATGGAAATCTGTCATGGGCTGGTAGGGAGCCTCTCTGACACTTCTGGGGAAGTCACATCCCCATCAGCTTCCATTGCAGCTCCCCCACAGGACGACAGTGTGGTCCATCCTGTGACTTACATGTGGAAGTGGAAAATGATACTAATTCTGGCAGTTTTCTCTGCAAAGAATACTTCACACCTTCTGGCAGTGGAATCCCATTTATATCAAGCCCCTTTATCCAAATGAGGGGAACAGATTTGTGTAAATTCACTAAAGGCTTTAAATTCTGGTGGTACATTTGAGGTCACAAGATGTACCTACCATGAAAGGTAAAATGTAAATATATTGGGAAGTATAGTAATGTATCCTGTATTAGGAGGCTTAATGAATTAGTTCTTTTCCTATTTTTCAGTTCTGCCTTCTCAGAGTTACATGTCAGGCTCCTGTATAGATATATTTCCATTGGCCCTCCACATGGATATAATGCTCACTTTATGTTTATCCTACTTACAAAGTATAGAATAGCAGTGCTGTATTGTAAATCTTCCAGGCTCTTCTGCTCTTTTTTTTTTCTCTTCACTTTTCTTGTAACTTCATTGATTATTCCAAATAGATTCCACAAGTCAACTGGATGAAAAAGTGAATAATAAATACATGAATGAAAATGCTGTATAGATAATAACCGGTGTGAGAATATGATAAAGTATCATTCTTTGCACAAAACCAGTTTCCTGAGGTAGACACTGCATCTACTGATATTTTCCTTAGTTTTACACTCTTTATTTTCATTGGTTTTAATAGCTGTTCCTGGATGGAAATGAGAGGAGATAATTAGTCTGTTTTTGTACTTAAAGAAGCTAATTTTACACATCATTATAAAGTTTTGTGTTTCACTGAAAAGCTGTGTGTTTTCACTGAAAAGAAATACAAGACAACACCCTGCTTTTCTTATAGCATAGGCCCCAAGGAGTACAGATTCATTCTTAACATTTCAATAGGCAGGCTACCCATAATATAAGATATATGGGATAAAGAGCACTGAGAAAGTCCCGGGACCATTTTTGTTGCAACTGTTTAACAGTGACAGCTAAAATAAAGAACGGTAGTTGGAATTGCCGACAGAATTTTCAGATTTCAGTGACTGACTAAGTGCTTCTGGTATTCGCTCCCTCAAAAGATACATCTACATTTTGGGGACTGAGGGGGTTGCAGGTAATTAGAGGAAGGCAAAACTTTTCTATTTGCACAGTCCGAAGTACATTACAAAGTGCGAATATTTTTCTACAAAGTTTGTATTCCGATAGTAGGAGGTGATAGTGTCTTTCTACTTTCCATTACATTTACTGTTTTAAGAACATACATGCCTAGCTTGATAAATATTGTTCATGGATCAAATTTGTTTGTGCTGTAACCGCTGGGAGAAGCCAGTGAAGTTACTGTATGGTTTAATGAGGTCCAGTGTCTTAAGACAAATTCTTGTGCAGTTTGAAATATGAGCCATCGGTTTGAAAAGTAGAATGGTGCTGCTGGTGATTTTGTACTGTTCTGGACCATTTTTGCAGATAACAAGATTGTTTCCCATTTGCTGGTGGCTGAACCAGAGAAGATCTATGCTATGCCTGACCCCACTGTTCCAGACAGTGACATCAAAGCACTTACCACTCTTTGTGACCTGGCAGACAGAGAACTGGTGGTGATCATTGGATGGGCTAAGCATATTCCAGGTACATGCAGTATTTATTGCAAATAGATGACATACAGAAATCATTGCATGGGTTATTCTATTCTGGTAAAAAATACGATTTGTTCTGTCACTACAATGCAGAAAGTTTTCTTAAGGCTCCAGATTATTCACATAGGATGTAGGTTAGATGATAATATATCTTACCTTGGAAATAGTATTATTATTGCTATGAGTGTTACTATGTTAATAAGTTTTACATGCTCTCAGTGAATGAATTTTTTTCATGTATTACTTTTATGAAGGTAAACTTTCCTTGCTATCCAGAGCATTAGCCTGGTGTGAAGGGTAGTGTAAGTCCTCTCCTCTGTACTCATCTGATTCAGCAGTAGTTGAATGTAAGTCTGGTTCCTCTATTACATAAATGCAGCACTGTCTTATACTGACCGCAGGAGGTGCAAAAATTCAGTTATATTTTGGCATGGCAGAGAGGAATTGTTCTCTTCATTGAATGAAGTAGTGTGAGAACTGAATTGTACTGGCAGTTCAGTAGAAAGAACTGAATTGTACCAAAAGGTCTCTTATAGCTTAGTAGTTCCTTGGTCTGCATGTAGACTGAGGTCTACATCACGTAAATGTGTTGGTATTGTAAAAGCTACCTGGCACTCTTGTTAGCAAGAAAAGTGAGGGTCATCAAAAGCAGTTTCTCAGAAGACTAATGATTTCTTCAGATAACATTTCAGGTGTATTTTATTTCCTCCCAATGCTGAGATATTTGTGCTTGCTCTGTGAGCTAGCATACGAACTTAAGAGAGAGTCTCCAGGGTTCTCAGTCTGTCACCTTTCGCAAATGGTAAAGTCACACAAAAAAGGTCGGCTTCTTTTCTTGTTTCTTAAGGTATTTTTCTAGTCCAGCAGATGAGTGAGCCTGTCAGCATGTTTTCATCAGCTCGCTAGTTTTCTCATTTTGATATTGGAGCCTTATTGAGCATAAGAACAGATAACCTTTAATTCCTCTGAGTAATACATCATCCTCATTTTAGATGTGATTTTGGTATACCTTAATAGTAGAATAAATAATCCAGTCAGTTGTTTGTTTGTCAAAGTTAAATATATTTTATTTCTAGTAACAAAAGAAATCGCAAAAAAATAGAAAGAAATAATCTTCCTGGGTTTTTATTCAACTTGTGCTAACCAGCACAAGGCCTCAGTTCTTCTGGTATGTGCTTCTGGGTCATCTTTGATAACTATAAACACTTACAAAAAATAATAATAAAATAATTTATACATTTATGGGATGTTATTTTGCTTCAGATGAGAGACAGCAACCTACAGACTCTAAAATAGTCAATATGTGACACAGTTGAAATGTAGCCATTCCCTGTGCCACAAATGTGTATAAACAAGCTTTTGTATCACAAGCAATGTTTTTCTGGTACAGTTAACTTATTTCTGTCTCCTTAAACTAGTTTGTCTTTATGCTTTGAATGCTACAGTAATTTCTTTAATCAAATTGATGGAAGTCCCTTTCCCAGCCCACACTGAAACCAATTTATTGGTCATGATACGCCAGCTATGTTGCTAACAGTCGTAACGAACTGTCAGGCAATATCGCAGTGGAGCTAATTTGAAGTCATTAGGTGTGCAGCGTTCAGGCAACAATTTGTTACAGTGGTTAGGAACACAGCTGACATTTCTGAATGGCTTTGTTCAGAGCAGTTCTAGATGAGCCCAAGCAAATTGTAAACTAATTTAAACATCACTCTATATTATACTAGCTACTTTGTCTTACACTGGTTTCTAATAAAGCACCCGAAATTAAGTGAAAATGAGTTAAATAGGTGAGTTTGAGTTTCATCTCTGGAAGATACCTAGATCACCTTAAACAAAATAGAGTAGGCTCTCAAAGAAGTCAGTCATGCTCCATAGTAGTTGCAGGGGAACTTTTGTCAGCTTGATTTGTGAATATACTGTGTAGCTTTGATTTGGCTGGAGGGGTAGGAAGAGCAGAGGGATGAGACTGAGCAGCCTTGAAAGTGATGGCTTTGGTTAGCATGGAATAGGTATTGGATGCTGTAAACTGGCCTCAAAAATTTACAAGTCTCCAATATGAACCAGTTGAGGAACATTTCTGCTGTGAGGCAGCCTTTTATTACAAGGTAAACTCAAAAACACACCTGCCATGGTAAAGCCACACTAGCTAAGTTTACTCACCTGACTCTGTTTAGGAATGAGAAGAAAAAAAGCCCCATCTTTTTATAAGCCTTTTGGTAACAGAGGCGAGTGATAAAATCTGTGCTTGTTGTTTGGCATTTGATCACAAAAATCAAAATGCAAAAGGGCTTGACATGCTAAAGGGCAAATGTGATGAGCTTTTGTAGCTTGGTTTTGAAGATGGAGTGCTGCTGAACTTGGACTGCCTGTGCTCAGCTAATGTCTGGCACAAAACAGCTTGTAGAAGAGCCTGGATTGGTGCTAGCTAAAATGTTATTGTAGGCAGAAACGTAACAGATTTGGAAAGAGGGTGAGTTAGAAAAAGGGTGCAAATTGCATAAAAGTTCACTGTAGCTTAACAGACTAAGTAAATCCTTGGTGTAAATCTCTTAGAATCGATTAATTATACCAGTAGTGAATTTGTGCCTAGCACAGCAAAGCAGCAACCAGCAAATCTTTCTTTACTATAGTGATTTCTTAAGGTTCAGTATAATTAAAGGCCTTTATATATTAGGTGCTTAATAACTAATAAAGATCTCGGCTGTAAAGCATTACAATTCAAAGTAAAATTGGTCTTTGTGGAAGAAACCAAAATGATGGTTTTGCTATTCTAAAAGGAAGTCTTTTAATGAGATTATCTGTAAAAAGGTAACAATGCAATATGCATTCTGCCCTGGCCAACCATTTCCCATTGCAGTCGTAGACGAAAAAATGTTTTAAAATTAAACAAAGTTCAAATGCTTTTGTAAAATCATTAGTATTTTTGTGCTATTGGAAACATTTCAATAGTTGCTTTTATTGAACAAAAAGTCTATGCCATCTACAAAAGGAAATATTGAAAGAAAAATATATATGGAAAGCCTTTATCAGTAAATAGAATTAGTCTCCTTGCATTTATAAATCAAATAAATGGAAAGTGTGTTGTTATGAAACATGACCATGTCTTATCTGAAGAAGAAAAAGATCACAGTGGCATTAGGAAATGCTTGACTTTAGTTAGAGAAGCGTAAGGGCACAAGAACAGATGATGGTGCCCTAATAGCCCTTTTTAAGAATGACAGGGCCCCGCCATTAGCATCCTTTTATATCCTTGGAAATTGCTCATGCCTCGCTTTTCTGGTTCCTATCTGCCTGACTCTTTTTTATTTCTCTTTCAATTTCATCCGCGCTCGGATAAGCGCATGCTAACACAATATGATTGAGCTGTAAAATGGAACGCTGTCGCCTCTAATCTCTTTTATGTAGATATGGAGGTACTTCCACACTCCACTTCATTCTCTCTCCATTGTTGGCCTTTTTAGAATGTGTTGCCGAGTAATGGAGGCTCAGTCAAATATTAGAGCTAGGTTTCACAGGGTGTGATAAGAAGATTATCAGCCCAGCAGTCAGATCTATTGTTGTTCTTTGTGTCAGATTAAAATATTCTGATGTACTGTAACTTCGTTAGTAAAATACTGAAGGTGCTTAGGGAGAGGCCAATGCTGCTTTGTCTCCTGCTTGGTGAGACCAAACCCCTACTAACTGACCAAAAAAAATTGTAAATATATTTATGAAGCCTGTGCAAGACTTTTTTTTTTTTAATTTAATTTTATATTATTTCTCTTTTAAATAAGAAAGCCCTGCTTAATTCCATATTTACTGGTGGTTGAGTTTCCTACCTTTGCATTGTATTTTGTGGAGTTTCCATTTTATATTGGTTACATCATATTAATTAAACTCTTTTCCAGTATGGGGTGGAATTCTGCTAATACCTAGTCATAGCATCAGAGTCGTTTAGGCACGATTTCTGTAATGTAACTATCTCATTGACATTCAGCAAAAATGTGCAATGTTCTTTCATATTAAGTGGAGGCAGGAAACATTAAGCTCTTAAAAATGTGCATAACAGGAAGCTAAAGACAAAATGTTCTCTGAAGAATTTGCATGCATGAAAAAACATCAGCCAGACCATAGAAATCAACTTTTTTGCACTTAAAATGAAAAATTTGTTTGGAAACAGTGAATCAGACTAATACATCAAAAATAACTAGTTACATTATTTAGTAAAATAAGCCTGCTTGTGTTCAGCTGTGTCCCTGTTTATCTAGCAGTAACTGTGTTCAAGAAGGGGAATAGTTAGAATCGATACTGCCACTGGTGCTAGTGTTAAAAAAGGGGGGGAGGGGGCATGAATTTAATGGAGCAAATCCAAGGATGTTTTGAATATTTTAGTGTTTAATGTTAATGTTTTATGAAATGTTATTGTTCCAGCATACTCTTTGTGGTGGACAATATTTAAGCTTTCCTTTCCAAAGGAGCTCTCGGGGTGCAGTTTAACATTCTTAATACTGAACAAGAACATGATTTGCTGCAGAGCTGTCATTTCTAAAATGTCCTTTTCTCATCATCTGTTTCAGAAGTACCACCCCATTTAGGTAAAAGTACAGAGAAAAAGTTGACTGTAGTCACTTTTGGAAAGCTAATGTTCAAAAAACCATGCGAGCATATGTATATGGTACATCCATGCAGATATGAATTAGGTATATATGTAGATGTTCTCAAGCACACAGTTGTTTATGTATCTACATTTTAGTGGACACACAGCATGTGTTTAAATGACAAAGCGCTGAATGTTACTTCATGGTAGTATTCACGTTAATAGGACTTTGAAGACAGACTGGAAACATGTTGGAAGTACCTGGTGTGTATAATCATATACGTTGTAGCTATAGCCAGCATCCTGTTTATGTCCAGAACCTTCTCTGGATTGTTACCGTGGCAGCTAATACAGAATCTCAGCTCTGCAAGGGGAATAGATGTCTTCTGTATGTCTGTACCATGCTGCTTGCT